ATGTATGTGTACATATCTATATGTGTATATATATGTATGTATGCATGTATGTATGTTTGTGTGTTTGTATGTATGAATGCATGTGCATTCTTTTTTGAATATTATTACAAGGGACCCCCCCGTACATCAATTCGGCCATGAGAGCCCCAAAAGCCCTGTGAGCCATATCGGCCCTCTGAACCCTGTGAGCCCCATGAGCCCTAAGAGCCCGATGAGGTCTTTGAGCCATTTGAACCTTCCGAGCCCTACGAGCCCTATGAGCCCTCTGAGCCGGCTGAGCCTTATGAGCCCTTTGAGCCCTACGAGCCGTATGAGTCCTATGAGCCCCCTGGGCCCTCTGAGCCCTAGGAGCCCTCTGAGCCCTGTGAGCTATATGAGCTCTATGAGCCATATGAGCCGCATGAGCCCTACGAGCCCTACGAGCCCTATGAGCCCTATGATCCCTATGACCCCTATGACCCCTTATGAGCCCGGTGAGACCTATGAGCCCTATGCGCCTTGTGAGTCTTATGAGCCCTCTGAGCCTTTTGAGCCCTCTGAGCCCTCTGAGCCTTTTGAGCCCTCTTAGCCCTCTGAGCCTCATGAGCCCTCTGAGCCTCATGAGCCCTATGAGCTCTATGAGCCCATGAGCCTGATGAATCTCGTGTGCCCTTAAGCCCTATGAGCCCTATGAGCCCTATGAGCTATGAGCCCTGTGAACTCTATGGGCCTTCTAAGCCCTATGAACCTTGCGAGCCCTGTGAGCCCTATGAGCCCTACGAGCCCTATAAGCCCTATGACCCCTATAATATATACCTATACGACCACCCTTCGGGTGATAAGGAGGTTCGGGGGGGGGAACCAACGTCTCACTCGATCGGTCTCACTATCGATCTCAGTATCGATCTCACTATCGGTCTCGCTCGATCGATCTCACTCGATCGATCTCACAATCGATCTCACTCGATCTATCTCATTCGATCGATCTCACAATTGACAATCGATCTCACAATCGATCACACAATCGATCTCACATTCGGTCTCAATATCGATCTCACTATCGATATCACAATCGCTCTCACAATCAACGTCATCATCATCATCATCATCATCATCATCATCATCATCATCATCATCAGCAACATCATCAACATCAACATCATCACCAACATCGTTATCATCATGAGAGCACCGTCAGCATCATCATCATCATCATAAACATCATCATCATCAACGTCAGCATCATCATCGGGACATCATCATCATCACCATCATCATATCATCATCAACATCATCATCAACATCATCATCATCATCATCATCATCATCATCATCAGCAACATCATCAACATCATCATCATCATCATCAGCATCATCATCATCATCGGGACACAGTCGTCGTCATCATCATCAGCAGCATCATCATAATCATCGTCATAATCGGGACGCCATCATGATCACCATCGTTGTCATCATCAACATTAGCATCAACATCGTCATCATCCTCGGGACACCATCATCATCATGATCATCGCATCATCATCATCATCATCATCGACATCATCATAATCATCATCATCATCATCATCATCATCATCATCATCATCATCATCATCATTGGGGCACCATCATCATCATGAGCAACATCATCATCAACATCGTCATTATCATTATTATCATCATCGGGACACCATCAGCATCACCATCATCATCACCATCATCATCATCAGCATCATCATCGGGACACCATAATCATCGTCAACATCATCATCATCATCATCAACATCACTACCGCCTGGACACCATTTCCATCAACATCATCATCACCAACATCATCGGAATCATCATCATCATCATCATCATCATCGGGACACCATCATTGTCATCATCATCAACATAATCATCATGAGCATCATCATCCTCATCATCGGGACACTATCATCATCATCGACACCATCATCAACATCATCATCTTGGGACACCATCATCATCATCATCATCATCATCATCTCATCATCATCATCATCATCGTCATCTCATCATCATCATCATCATCATCATCATCATCATCATCATCATCATCATCATCATCATCATCATCATCATCATCATCATCATCATCATCACCGGCCGCCCGGAAGGGAATCATTTGGTCCGGCCGCGCCTCAGCCACACGGGACTTTCGCGGGACACCGGCGGGACACCGCGGGCCACCGGCCGCCCGGAAGGGAGACATTTGGTCCGGCCGCGCCTCAGCCACAGGAGATTTTTTCTCGCCCGCCCACGCAGCTTCGCCTCGCCCGCTTGCACGGCACGCTCGAACACGAAACCGAAATCGATTTCCCGGTAGGGGGGCTCTCCGTTCCACTTCGATCTCACCCCCTCACCACCGATATCTATATATATATATATATATATATGATCCTTCGCCTCGCCCGCTTGCACGGCACGCTCGAACACGAAACCGAAATCGATTTCCCGGTAGGGGGGCTCTCCGTTCCACTTCGATCTCACCCCCTCACCACCGATATCTATATATATATATATATATATATGATCCCGGGCTCTGGGCCCACGGCCCCCCCCCCCCCAAATGGCATGGTCCCAGGATTCCTCGGGCCCCCCCCCCCCAGATGGGATGGGGGGGGGACGACGACGACGACGACGACGACGACGACGACGACGACGACGACGACGACGACGACGACGACGACGACGACGACGACGACGACGACGACGACGACGACGGCGACGACGACGACGACGACGACGACGGCGACGACGACGGCGGCGACGACGACGGCGGCGGCGGCGGCGGCGGCGACGACGAAGACGCCCGCTTCGGCTCCCTGAGGCACTGCAGCACCACGCCACACCCAGAGGGAGGCGACGCCACACCCAGAAGGACGAAACAGAGCCAAAAAAACACAAAAAACATTGCGTTAGTTCCCCCGAGTTATGCACACTGAAAATTCGGCAGTTTTCGTCGTGCCGAGGACGCAATCGTTCCGCCCCGGCTTTTAACCTGCGGGCGCACGCCAGATTGAGCGCGCACTTGACTTCATCGGAAGAGGCCAGCCCTAACTGATTACGGCTGTTATGCACGATTACAGATTGGCACCTCCCCTCCGTCAAGTGTAGCAGTTTTACGTCATGCCTGGGACGGCGATGCATATGCCGATGCCGATGCTGACGCTGTCGTCGTCGTCGCCGCCGCCGCCGCCGCCGCCGTCGTCGTCGTCGTCGTCGTCGTCGTCGTCGTCGTCGTCGCCGTTGTCGTCCACAGGGGGCCACCACCCCCACAGGGGGAAGGCCACCACGCCACGCCCACAGGGGGGGGGGGCCCAAGCCCTGGACCATATATGATCCAGGGTCGAGGGTTCACGGGCACCCCCCCCCCCCCCAGATGGTATGGTCCCACCCCCCCCCCAGATGGTATGGTCGACCGACGCGACGGCGACGGCGACGACGACGGCGACGGCGACGGCGACGACGACGACGGCGACGACTCGACGACGACGACGACGGACGACCGACGACGACGACCACGACGACGACGATGACGACGATGACGACGGCGACGACGACGATGACGACGACGACGACGATGACGACGACGACGAGGACGACGAGGACGACGACGACGACGACGACGACGACGACGACGACCTCTGAACCACCACAGCACCACACCACATCCACAGGGGGGGGGAGGGGGGCACCGCAGCGCAGCACCACGCCACGCCCACTTCTGAACCACCACAGCACCACACCACATCCACAGGGGGGGGGGGGCACCGCAGCGCAGCACCACGCCACGCCCACAGGGGGGGGCGGGGGGGACCATCGCGCGGGGGGGGGGGCCCAATGGCATCAGCATTGGGGGGGGGGCCCAAGCCCTGGACCATATATGGATGGGGGGCCCAAGCCCTGGACCATATATGAGCCGTATGAGCCCTATAAGCCTCATGGGCCCTATGAGCCCTATGAGGCGCATGAGCTCTATGAGCCCTACTAGCCCTATCAGCCCTATCAGCCCTATGAGCACTACGAGCCCTACGAATCCTATGACCCCAAAGAGCCCTATGAGCCCAATGAGGTCTATGAGCCCTATTAGCCGTATGAACTCTATTAGCTCTATGAGCCCTCGGAGCTCTACAAGCTTATGATCCTTATATGGTCGAGGGTTTGCCCCCCCCCCGCGCGATGCCCCCCCCCTTTGCCCCCTTGTGGGCGTGCGTGGGCGTGGCGTGGTGGCCCCCCCCCTGTGGGAGCGGTGTGGGGTCCCCCCTGTGGGTGTGCAGTGGTTAGGGGTCCGCCTCAGCCAAGCATCCGCTTCAGCCAGGCCTCCAGTCGGCGTCTTCGCCATCGTCGTCGTCCTCATGCCTTTGCCGACGGAGAGCGGCGGCTACATGGGGAGAGGAAGCGGGAGGGGGGAGCAAGGTAGGGAGGAGAGGGCCAAAAACGAGGAGGGAGAGAGGCGGATGGGGGGAGGAGGATAACGAACATCGTCGTCGACGGTGTCTTCACCGTCGTCGCCTCCTTCTGGGTGTGGCGTTGTGTTCCGGTGCTTCAGGGAGCCGGAGCGGACGGTGTCTTCGTCGCCGTCGTCGTCCTCCTCCTCCTCCTCCTGCCTACTAGCCTCCTCCCCTCCTCGTCCTGCCTCCCCTCGTCCTCCTCCTCTCCCCCTCAGCCTCCTCCTCCTCCTCCTCCTCCTCCTCCTCCTCCTCCTCTCCTCCCCCCCCCCCGATCCCATCTGGGGGGGGGGGCCCGAGGACCCTGGGACCCATCTCATCTGGGGGGAGGGGCCCGTGGGCCCGGAGCCCGCGATCATATATGCCCTCTGAGCCCTATGAGCCCTATGGTTTTAAAAGCGAAGCGCAGCGAGCCTGTAAAATCTGGTGTATATATATATATATGTGTGTAAAAGGAGAGAGTGGGAGATCATACACACTGTCCGAGGGCCGCGTGGACGTCCGAATGTGTGTGTGTGCTTGCATTGGTTCCGAGCCTTCCAGAAGGCAATGGCCATCATGGCCCCTCTGCAGCTCGGCCAGCTGGTGGACGCGTTGGGCATGGGCGCAGAGTCGCTCCCGATCGGCATCCTCGCCGCATACGGCCTCGCGCGCCTGTCGACAAGCGCATTCAACGAGCTGCGGGCGGCGCTCTTCGCCACGGTGTCGCAGGCTGCACGACGTCGCCGCGATGATCCTCAGGATTTGTCCTAGCCCACTACGTGTTCACCCCGCTCAGCTCCGGCGACAGTGCGCAGCCTGTGTCGCCCCTCGCCAACCGTAGAAACAATTGCACGAACAGAATTTTTCGGGGGGCCCGCGCGGACCTCAGAAAGTATATGCTGACGGAGTTTTGCCTTACGGTGGGGGCGTTCATCAAGGGATGCGCCCATGAGGCTTTAGACCCTGGAGGATTCCTTATCTGATGAGAGCATCAGTGATATCCATAGCCAATCCACGATTGGAGCTCCACGGGCTAACAGACCCTGGGTTCCTTAGTCGAGGGTTCCTTATTCGACGCCTTCACCGTATATGCTTGTGGAGTTCTGCCTTACTTTGTTCCAGGGTTTCGGTGGGCAAACACACGCCGGCGCCAACACACGTTCTGAGGATTATCGCTCGCCGCTCCGCTCGTCATCGCCAGGGCGCGCCGCGCCTCGCCGTCTTCTGGGCGTGCCTCGGCGCTGTTCGTCGACGGCGTTGTTCGTCGTTCGACTTCGCCTTGGCCCGGGCTTCTGAGGGCCGTACTGAGAGCCCAGGAGTAGCAAGCAGAAAGCAATAAGTGATCGTTTAATGATTCATTGGTTTGCCGATCGGCGCGGGCCCGCGCACCCCCTTTCCCCCCCCCCCATGGAGTAGATCTTGGCTGTTTGTGGCGCCTGTTTCAAGCAGGCGGGGTCCCTCCCCTATGGGGCGCACTGCTGCAAACATTCGCACGAAGCAGAGGTCCGGAGCCAGACCCCCTCCCCATCCCGCCCAATGTCGAAACGCCGAATAAGAAAACGTTCACCAATGGATCTGCAGCCAAAGCATCGATGGTCGCGATGCGCTGCGACGTTGCGACGCAAGGGCCCACCTGTTGCCCCTCTGCTTGGCCAGCTGCTGTCGGGGCGAGAGGGTGGCGAGGGCCTCAGACACCTGCCAAGACAGTCCCCGACGTGAGCGTCGTGAGGAGGAGGAGGAGGAGTTTTTTGCAATGCGCGGCAGCCAGGCGCACACCCTATTCGCGAGAGCAAAAAGGCCGGGCGACAGGCTGGCAAACAAAACCTGCGGGCTAAACACCCGCCGAGGGCCACTCGCGGACCCCAGGCCTGGGAGGGAGGCCCTTGCGCAGCCGCATCAGGGCAGTCAGCTGCGCCTTAGTCAGCGCGAGGGGTCCGTACCTCGCCGCCTCGCACTCCTCCAGAAGAAGCGAGGGCCTGGAGTCCGCGTAGCGCCCGCAGGTGCTGCAGAACGTGATGGCGCCCTTGCGCCACAAAAAGTGAGAGGCATGCGGCACATGTCCAGCGATGCCAGTGCCAGGAGGCAGACGAGATGGGGGATCAGGCATCCCCAGAGACCGAAAGAGTTGCTCGTCGATGGGCGGCAGCCCCTCGTACGAGCGCGGCAGCCTGACGCAGACCCGAGGCGCGGGAGCAGTGTCCTCCGCCTCTGGCTCTGCCGCAGGCTCGAGAGGCAACACACCGTCCCCCCCCCCGTCCTCGACCGCCCCGTCCCCCTCCCTCAGCTGGCCTCGCTGCTGCAGCTCCACGCGGCAGGGAGGCGAGCAAGGCGACGGCCGCAGGACCGAGCACGATGAACGCAGGAGGTGGAGGGCGCGGCTCTGAGTGCGCCTGACCGATCGGCCACAGCTCTTGCAGCACCAGCCGAAAGCGGTCGGCACAAAGGCATGCTGGGAACGAGCCGCGAAGCCAGAAAGCAGCTCCTCCCTCCTCTGAGCCCTAGAAACCTTCGGTTTGATAACCTCACGGCCAGGGCTCTTGGGGGCGGAGGCGGCGGCAGCACAGAGCGTAGCATTGCGGAGCAGGATGGCCTCGGCCTGCTCCACCAAGTCCAAAGCGCGACGCGCTACATCAGGATCAAGCTGGGCCTCCTCAGACCGCTCCTCGGCGAGCCCGTCGGCCACTGCATTGAGAAAGATAGCCTCGGGCAGCACAGTGTGGCCTAGACGCGCAAACTTCGCGGGGTCCTCAGCTAGATGCGAGGGCACGTGCAGGAGCGCGAAGCGGCCCACGCGGACGTCAAGCAGCGAAAAAAGATCGTGCCAGAGGTCCGCGTGCTCGAGCTTGTAGCAGTGGCGGCGTCCGCGTGCTATCGCATTCACGTGATTCACGTGGTCGGAATACAGCTTGAAATCGGCAGCAGGGTGGACGGCCCTGACGCACTCCACAATGGCCAGGAGCTCAGCACGAGGCACCGTTTGCACAGGGCCGTCCACCAAGCCCGTGCAGCCAGAATCCCAGTCCAGACCCTGGCCGTCGCCAAGGCGGGCAAAGCTCCACGCCACACGCCGTAGCAAGGGCTGAGACGACCAGGCTCCACCTGCACCGTCGGTGGCGTAGATCCCCCCTGGCAGCGCCCCGACGCCGCATCGCAGCCACCGATGGCCACGCTCGTCGGGGGGAGGCGGGATGTTCAGCCAGGCAAGGGGCACAAGCCCGCGGCACCAGAAGACAGGGGCGCTGTCGATCTCCTCCAACGCCTGACTGCGAAGATGGTTGGAGGAGACCACGGCCTCTGGAGGGGGAGGCACACCGACCGAGAGCGCCCAGTCCCTCTCCATGAAGTTGCACATGCATTCCCAGAAACGATGACGGCTGGATTCGCGGGAGCGATGGCAGCGCTGACACAGGTCGTCCGTGCGGTAGCCTGCCTGGTGACGACGCTCCTCCGTCCAGTATCCTCCGCAGGCGACTAGGCGAACGAGGCTGGCAAGACTGTGCTGGGACTCCTTCTCCAGCCGTTCCGCCAGTGCAGGCACATGCTGCCACCAAACGCCACCCTCCGCCCCACCCCCGTCAAGATGCTTGGCCGCCTGTCGCCAAGCCGCATTCTCAGCGGTCTGCTCCAGAGCCGCGAGGAGGCTGGTGACGGGGGCGACGGAGGTGGCGAAGAGCTCCCACTCCTGCCCGTCTGGCTCGACCAACTTGGACAGGGACGGGCACTGCCAGCCAGCTGCAATGACAGAGGCCTGAAAGGCTGAGAGCGGGCCGCGCACGAAGTTCCAGCCACGCGCCACCCGCTTCAGGGACGCGTCCCATCCTCGCTGGACCTTCGCAGCGAGGCCGTCCTCTCCAAGGACTCGAGAGTAAAAAGCTCCTGCGATGTGCCGCAGGTACCAGATGGGCGGGTCGCGCCGCGCCCCAAAACTGATGCGAATGGCCACAGTAGCGCACGTGCCGCGCTGAGGGCACTTGCTGGCGAGCCTCGCCTGACCACGCAGCTGCTTCAGCATGGTCGGCGCCAGCCCGTGCACCTCGGGCGCCCACACCGACTTCGGCAGGGCATTGGAGACGAAGAGGCGTGAGGCTCGCGGCGCTGACCTGACCAGACCCGAGATCTTGAGGGCGGCGCGCCTGCCCTTCATGAAACGCTTCTTGCGCACCTTCACAGAACGCGAGGCACCGAAAGATGTGTCGTGGCCGAGGTCGCGGGCAACACGAACAGTCCTGAGGCCACCAGCCCCGACCTCGGCCGCTGACGCCCACGCGGGCAGCAAGGCACGGATGGCAGCAGAGGAGGCCATGAGGCCACACTTCCCTAGGGAAAACTCGCATCGCAACCTGCGCAGGCCCGTAAAGAGGGCGCGCAGCACCACAGGAAAGGCCAAGCTGAGCGAGTGCTCAGTGCCGAAAAGACGGAAGGCGAGGTCGTCGATCCACTCCCTCAGGCGCAACCCTGGCACCGAAGAGTGAGCCGCCTTCAGCGGGGCGTGCAGGTAGGCACGCGCCTGCGAGACAGCTTGGCCACAGCCAGCGAGGATGCCTCCGCCAGGCAAGATACCAGTGTGCACCTGGCGCTGGAGGGTGAGGAGTCGAGGACCGAGGTAGACGTCGAGGGCGAGAGCGAGGAGGCGGAGAGGGTAGCCTAAATCCTGGGCAGCCGCCGCCAAGTCAGGCAGAGACACCAGGTCGTAAAACTTCCGAAGGTCGAGCAGTCCACCCGCAACCTCGAAGCCTCCCAGGAGCGCAAGCTCCCCCTCCAGCTCGTCCAACCACCCAGCCAGGTCGGCCGATCCACCCACAGTCTTGTCCCAGGCCCCGTGCTGGTCACGGTCCCAGGCGCCTATCTCAGGCTTCCTGATGCGGCATAGCAGCACGTAACTGAAATTGAGCAGGGCGATGGGCCTCAGGCCTCCATCCTCCTTATCCAGCAAGGCGATGAGGTTGAACAACTCTTGAAAGGGCACTGTGGCCTCGCGCTCGATGGCCGTCAGAAGGGCCGCGAGCGCAGCGATAGCAGCAAGCGGCGCATCCTTGACCAGGCGAGGCGGCATCATGTCAATCCCCCTCCCCCGACGATCAGGAACGGTCTTTAGCGCCCCCCTCACCTGGTCAGGAGTGACAGGCTCGAAGCAGTCTGACGAAAGAGCCGCACGGCGGATCCTCGCGAGGGCCTCCAAAGCCTCGGGCCGCGAGTGCTTGCACCAGATTGCGTGCCACGCAGCGCCTTCCGCCTCTAGCACGGCAGCGGGCGTGGAGGCTGGCTCTCCGTCCCAGACAGGCTCGGCGCGGCAGAAGGCGGGAGGATCGCGGAGGAGCCTATGGGCTTTGCTGGCAGAACCCGCCAAAGCGTCGGACAACCAGGAACGCCAGCGCGCACGGGCCGCCGCAGCCGCGCGCTGGGCAGCCTGGACTCCCTGCTCCTTAGCCTCCTCCGCGATCTGCTGAAGGCTGTCAAGCGACAGCGAGCGAAGCTGGCGGAGCCGAAAGATCCAACGCTCAAGGATCGCTCCCTCCACCGCGTCGTTCGGATCAAAAGGCGGGGGCAGCTGCAGGGCCTCAAGCCCACGCATCGTGCTCCAGAACTGCTCACCGCAGCCGGCGCGCGGAGTAGATGCCTCGGATGGGTCCGCCTCGGGATCAGCCAAACGCAACAGCAAGGAGGCCTGCACAGCGAGGGCCTGCCAAAAACGGGCATGGCGGTCAGCGAGAGGAGGGCCGTCGCTGGCA